AATGCCCCTCTAACGCACCGGCGCTAATCCCACGACACCGCTTCATTCCCAGCCTCCCCCGTCATCCGTCATCGTTCTGTATTCCGTTTCGTTATTTTAAAGAGCCTTTGAAAAGGGCTCTGGGGGGTAAGAGATTAATAGGAAGTCGATACCCATTAGCTCGCCGACACACGCCGCCAGAGAACATGTCGATACACCTGGAAACCAGACCGCAGCACCAGGCCAGGGGGAGGAGGAGGAGGGCGAGCAAGGAAACACCCCCAGACCCCATATTTTTACATCTTTTCACTGGATCCGCTGCAAGCGCCGGCGGCTCGCGAAGGGAGAAGAGGCGAGTGTCTCCTTGACAACCGGCCGACCGTGATCTCCGCTGCCCCGGGCAGGGCAGCACCGGCACCGGCACCGGCGGGGGCTCACCTGCGGGTGGATCCGGAAGCGGAGCGCCAGCGGCCGGGAGCGCAGCCAGCTGGAGGATCCCCATCGCCAGCGACAGCGCAGCTCCCCGACGGCTCCCCATCCTTCGGCTTTCGAGAGGAAATCAGTCACGTTCACCCGTCTTCTCCGCGCATATGAATACGTGCGTACACAAATATGTCTCAATGCAGAAACTTGGGGGGTAAATTAACCGTGTGAGATCGATAAAGGCGGTCGCATCGTTGGTTTTCACCCCCCGGTCTCCTTTCTGCGCGTTTCCTAATAATATATCGGGCTTTCGACACTCACTCGCTACAGCGTCTCATCCTCCGAAGGAATGTGAAAGGATCATTACCTTTCCTGGACTAGCATATTAGCAAGGTTTTGTATCACCGACATAACTGTAAGCGGAGGTTAAAAAAGCAAAAGCAACGAACTTAAACCTAGCTTTTAATTGATCAACAGTTCCAACACAATCAAACCCCATCACCGCTCCGCGGCGCCATGTTGTTTACTACGTCACCCCGAGGGGCGGGTTAAAGCAAAGCAGGTGCGGTGCGGGCACCGGAGACCGACAAGGACGCGAACCAATCCGACGCGGCTGCTCTGCCCGTCTGCGCAATTGTGCCCAATCAGCGCGTCCCCTGGTCTCTCGTTTGCACGCCTTGCTGTGCAGGGCTCGGTGACGTCACCGCGTGAGTAATGCTATGCGCTGATAACATAAGTCACTTGACAGCCATGTGAGGCACGCTGACGACGTCAGAAAGTGAAACAAGGAAAGGTACGGCTGACATCAAGAGGGATATTCCTTAATTAGAACTCTGAGCCATTCATCTCGAACCTGTCTGACTAGGTTGAGTGGTAGAGCCTTTATCTCCAAACCAAATCAGTACACAATCTTCCTGAGGCTCCCAGGAAAATGAACAGCACGCTCTGTTCATGGCGATGCGAAGTCGAAAGGTCCGCACGGTTTAATTCTCGTCTGGTGCATTTTGTTTCTTCAGTCCCCGAATAGAGTCTGCCCAGGATAGCGCTTCTGTAAACACTGAACTAGAGTGGGTTTTGAGTCCCACTGACGTGGTGATACGGGTCTGCTGCCGGGTTCCTGGGCTACAGATGAAAAAGTAAAGAGGGCTCCTGAGACCTGAGAAGGGCTTGTGTCGAGGCTAGGGGCGAGGCAGGAGCTGGGGTCAGCGACGGGGTAAGCGCTAGGCTTAGGGTTAGGGGGTCAGGTCAGGGCTGGAGATAGGGTTAGGGTTCAGGTCAGGCATACATTCCAATCGGGGCTTGGGCTCCACAGAGGTCCGGAGTTTGGCTCAAGGCTGGAATTAGGTGTAGGATCAAGGGTAAAATTATTGTTACTATTTGTGTAATTTAGGAATTAGGACTGAGACTGTCTGCAATGTGTGTATATGTGCAGATGTACAATTCACCATCTCTCTTTCCCATTCTGCTATTTTAATGTCCTCATGAAGGTCTGAACTGCGCATTCCCAAGACTGAACATGTTGTTTTGTTAATTTAGTTTCTACACGGCTGCTAGCCGCAGCTGAAGATGGTGCTACTGTCAGGTACAAGAGGTCCGGCCGCTCCGCTCCGGGACGCGCTCTTCAGACCCAGGGGTTTTTCCCGGCAGCCAGACCTGTTCCGAGCCGGGATTTCAGGTCCGACAGGGTGTTTTTAGGAGAAGGGCTCCGCGGAGTGGCAGCTTGTGACCTTGTGTGCGAGCGACACGCTTTCTGCAAACGCCCACAAAACATTACATATAATAGTCTCGGGCGCGGGGGGGGCGTCTGCTTTTGAAAACCAGATTTTCAGCTGTTGGAACCGAAGACACTCCTGCTTTGTCCAATGAGCTTGCAAGGGCTTCACAGCGCGTCGCTGGCTCCCTGTTTATGTTGCGCCACAAACAGTCGCCATAGGAACAATAGAACAGCCACACAATCGGGGGGAGGAGGACAGCCTCCTGGCAAAGCGGAGTGGAATAGCTCTGCTTGCTAAGGAGGCGATACCGAGATATATATATATATTATTTCTGGGGGAGGAGGGAGGTAGACTATGGAGTGTATGGGATCAGTCTGCATTAAATAAGACGTTTAAGACTTTTTCTTCTGCATTTGACTACTCAAACAGCAGCGCGGAAAAGCGGCCAGGGCTCTCCGGGGCTCCCCGGCCGAGGGCGGCGGCTCTCCATTCCGGGCGAGACGCTGCTGTTGTGCCCCTTTGCTTCAGCAAACTGCTCCCCGCTGGATAAACGGGCGCTTCTCAAGCCGCCATTGCGAAGGGGACTTGCGCCTTGGTTCTCTTGCATTCTGAAGACAGAAAAACAACGCTGGCGTTAACCAGGCCTTTCTGCGCGTGTGGAGCCACCCTTCATCGCCCCCAAACAGGGGCCGCGAGCCAGCTGCCCTGCCCCGCCCCGACACGGGACTCTGCCCGCAGAATTGCCCCCCCGGCCGGCGCACCACTTCGCCATCTACCGTTCAAAACGGATAATTGCATGGTTGGCAAGTGGGGGGAAAACCGGGGGGGGGGGGATTCATATTTCAAATAAGCGCTCGGCTTTCCGTTAACATCACTCATAGGTACGGAAAGCAGAATAAAAAAAGAGAAAAATCAATGTGACACCTTTACCGGTTGTACGTGCCGATGACGCGTGTCCGGCTGAAATGTTCTGTGTGCTCGGCGGTGGCGTTCTGGCTCCCCGGAACCCTGTCCTGGACAGCATTCACCTTGACTTTCCGTGTCTTTACGAACTCATAATGCAGCGCGGATGTAATAGGTTCGTGGATTTATTTTTCCCCCTCACTGCACCTTGAACTAATCGCTGGCTCTGCACAAGAACGACCGAGCCGTGCCCGGCTTCTGCTTTCCAGCAACCACCTGGAAGCGAAACAGGAGTAACCTTCTGCGTGAAGCTTCCGCCCAGACCCTTTCCGCGGAGCCAGGGGAAACGGACCCGGCCAGCGGCTGTCATTTGCAGGCAGACACGTTTGAGAAGAATCAGAGGGGAGATGCGCCCGTGCGTTTACTAGACAATCTCAATAGCGAGGGAAATAAGTCCTCCCTTTGGTCCCAATCTCTGCTTGCAGGCGTGTTTTTCAGGAGATAACATTAAATAGGATATACTAATGGCACGAATAGATGGTGGGTGCTTGTGGGGAGGGGAGGGAGAGGGGACTGGCTGGTAACGCGCACCAAGGCGCTCAGGTCTGGGTCAAGTGGCCGCAGTAACTACTGTACCTGTCATTAACACCTGTGAGTCGGCGCTGGTGGCAAAGACGTTGGAAAACAAGGGCAGATGGCGAGCAGATCGTTCCTAGCGCCCAGCTGGAACAGAAGCGAGCCCTTCCCGGAGTCCCCTCCTCTCCAGATCCAGCCATGGCCCTGAGCGGACTCCTCGCTGCCGGCGCCGTCGCCGCGGCCCTGACGGCCTGCCAAGGTACAGTACGGCGCCTTCTGCCCGGGCTCTGGCCGCCAGCGGCGACCTCGGCGGCTCGACAGAAATCGTCCCCGACCGGTTGGAATATGTTTGCATCCACACGCGTGTCCCCTGAAGCTGAAATACTGCTGAGAGTCGCTGTAGTTAACCCCTGGAGTGTGGACGACGCTCTTGTTTAAACTGCACACTTTGACAACCTATTCGCCACTTATTTGCCCCCCACGCGTTCAAGTTCACGTCCTGCGCCCCAGAGCGCGAGTTTCCTGATTTTGTCGCGTTTCTTTGCGGGTTAAAACCGGTCTCTGTCTCCGTAGCCACTGGCTCCTTCGACCACAAGGCGTTCTTCGCGGCGGTGGGTCTGTCCAAGAAGTCGCCGGCGGACGTCGAGAAAGTGTTCAAGGTCCTGGACCAGAACAACAGCGGCTTCATCGAGGAAGACGAGCTGCAGTGAGTATCCCCGGCCGCAGGGCTGCACAGGAAAACAGGTGAAGGTCTTTTCAAGACTGAAAGGAAAAGACAAGAGACGCAGCGTTTCGGCTGTGAAGCCTTCTTCAGGTTTGTGGCTCCAAAGCCGAAACGTTGTGTCTTGTCTTTTCCTTTCGGCGTGGAATAAACCTTTACCTGTTCCAGCCAGTGGGATTACTGACTGGAAAGCGGCGCAGGGTTTGTCGCCTGGGTCGCCGTATTCGGCCGGGGCGTTGGTTGCCCAGCGGGGCTCCGTGCACGCGTCGTGACGGGGCTCTGAGACTGCACGGGGCGCCCCTCGCCTCGTCTCCAGGTTGTTTCTGCAGAGCTTCTCCAAAGGAGCGCGGGTCCTGACGGCTGCCGAGACCAGGGCGTTCCTGTTGGCCGGAGACTCCGACGGGGACGGGAAAATCGGAGTAGAAGGTACCTGAAGCTGGAGAAAAGAGATCGTACCCCAGATTTCTAAAAGACCGGCTTGATAGCAGGCCCGACACGAGAGCAGGACCTGTGTTGCTGCGCCAAGCGCCCCGAACCGCAGGTCCCCCACAGAATCGGGCCTGAAGTTCTGAGAGATGCATCTTCCTTTATGCTTTTTGACTTGCCCTGGCGTAGGTCAAGAGATTCGATACCGCCCTAGCTGTGTTGCATTTTAGTACCGTCACACTGCACAAATCTTTTACAGGGTATTTGCTATCAAACGTCTAAATACGTTTTTTGTCAGTTTAAAAATAATGTTTACTGTATGCAGTTGCAGCAGCAGAATAAATGCCAGGAACTGAATCTTCCTTTTGACTTTTGCAGAGTTCTCAGCCCTCGTTAAGTCCTAACTCAAGAGCTACTACAGCGATGTCCGCTGTTCTGCACCTGACAGTATTCGGAGACACGTAACCTGATACTCGATCGGACAAGATACTTTTCTCTCTGCATCCGCGTTTGCAATCATAGCATGTCAAGACCCGCTTCTGTTACTCTTTTCATTAGAAACACCTAGCTGATGCATTGTTAATGTAGACCACAAATTACTGAGTTAATAAATTCAGTGTTAATAAAATACATTTGAACCAAACTTGTGACTTCGTTTCTGAACTTACTGGTGCATCTCTGGTTAATATTTCTCCTTAGTGATGCGCCCGAGTTCTGTCCAACACCGTGACAAGAAATGCCATCATTGTCTTCTTTTCGTTCGACCGATTTCTCGTTGAGATCACAACACAGATTTAATCTCGCCTAAAAGCAGAATATCAACGATCAAGATGTAATCATTAACGCCTTATAATTACAGAACTGTAACAGTAATTATTCTTAAAGTATTCTGATATTTTTTAATTATATTCTTGTAAACAATCTATACACATGTGAAAACCCCCTGAAAGGGTTCTTCAAGATCCCTGAATCTCCTCAGAGATTTGTGGGGAGGTGAGTAAACCAGTTTTTCAGCACGAAACCCTGCCTCTATACTGCAGCTGAGCTCTTGCTGCATTCTCCTTATTATTAATATTAAGCATGGTGACAAAAGTACAAAAGAAAATCTGATTTTTTCCGATATACATCAGCATATGTATTGTTCTGGTATACATCGCCCACTTGAGTCCTTTGTTACAATTAATTGCAATGTCATAGCTTTACTACCGTGTAATTCATTTTAATTGTAATCCAGCGTTCGCTGGTATCTGAGACGAACTCGAAGCTGTGTGTGGAAGTGTTTCAGGGATCTGCATGCGCTGCGCAAACACCCACACACTCCTACGTGCAGTTCCCCTCGAGCCGCGTGGGTACCCACCGATCCACACTGCTTAGCTAATGAGCAGGGAGGTGTCGGCCGGCCAGGGGGCAGAGCCAGTCTCCAAAGCACCGGGAGCCATACCTTCTCAGTCACTTTGCTTTCGGATTTGCGGACCCACAGGTGATCAAACCACCTGCTCACAGCTGATCGCAGGACGAGCGAGACCCACAGCAGGAGAGGCCAGCATCTGTACGACTGAAACATCCCTGGAATAGACAGGAAAAACTACAGCACAGCACAGAGGTAGGATCGCTGTTTCAGCACTGGAGCAGCTCAAAGATTGTTCTTGGCAATAGTAGGATTTTCAGAGGCAGGTACTATTGTTACCTGTATTGTGTGCTGTGTTCGTATCAAGAGGTCTCTGTGAAAGTGTGCAAGCACACACTGCGATGGGTGGCTTGCAAGGCTTGTGCATGTAGACCTGGCTTGTGTGAGGGTGAGGTGATGCTCTCCTGCTTAGTATACAGAGGAGCGTGAAACAGGCACGATTTGAGCTCATTTACAGGATGAATGAGGAAGGAGCCGAATGAGAGGGAAAGACAAATGTGTGAGAAGAAAATATAATTCTGCCAGATTAGATATGTTCACCCTGAGCAAGAAAAACACAGAGTCCTCTGGGGGGGTCGCTGTAAAGAAAGAGAACAAGCTGTAGACAAGGGGACCCCCAGAGGAGCCTGAAAAAACACTCCTGAGAGTCGGGCACTTTCATCTGTATCACTGATGCAACAGTGCTACCGTCTGATTTATTCTCTATTGACAACAGGATTCAGCCTGGTGCAGGAGAGATGCTGAGACAGCTGGCTGGATTTCTCTAGATTAGAGTTTCAGAAATGTCACGTTGTGTGTACTGTATTTTTTCCTCAGTTGACAACTTATGCATGTATTTTTTTTTTTACATACAGCCACTGGGCTAATGATCCAGTAATTGAAGTGTGCAGTATGGGAACCGCTCATTTGTAACGTGCTAGTGAACACGGTGATGAGCCAGGACAGGACAAGAACACTTCATCATAAAGCAAGCAGAAGCTAGTCAACACCTTGCGCTCGTACCTGCGTCTCCTTGAGCGCGGTCAAGTCTCGAAGCAGTGCAAACCACACTGCCCTCCATCTCGATGAACCTAACAGCTTTTACTGGCACTTCGTTTCTGTATTTCCTGGTCCTTCCTCAGGGCTGTCGCTTCTTAACTGTTCCTTCCTCCTCCTCTCCTGCCATCAGGGCTCAGGGCAGTCATGGCTTTTTCTGGGCTGCTGAGAGAAGAGGACATCACGGCCGCGCTCCAGGCATGCCAAGGTAATCAGGGGAACCAGGTCAGCAGAGAGGGAGGCTGTCTGGACTCCTCCCCCCAGAGCACACAGGCTCCTGCTCCGAAGGGCCTCCAGGGGAGGTAAATAAGGTAACCAGGCAACAGGTGGGCTGGGGAGCAGGTACCCGTGGGCTGCCATCGTGTTTTCACTGTGCCGAGACGACGAGTCTAAACACTTCAGAGCCCACCGGCCCCAGAGCTGCTACACACGATGAAAAATAGGGATCTGCCATTTCTCCAAACTGGGGTCCTTCCTGCTTACTTCAAAACCGTGTCCTTGCCGGGGTTTTCTGTCCAGTGCAGTTGCTTGCGGGCACTTGGGATTCTGGGGTGCTCGCTTCAGGGAGCAGTGCCGTCTGAAGACAGCGCGGACGCCTTTCCAGGTCTCCTCAGGACTCTGCTTGTCTCCCACAGCGGCGGGCTCCTTTGATCACAAGGCCTTCTTCGCCCAGGTGGGGCTGGCCAGCGATTCTGCCGTGGCCGCGGAGAAGGCCTTCAGGATCCTGGACCGGGACCAGAGCGGATTCATCGAGGAGGAAGAGCTGAAGTAAGAGAGAGAATGAAGGGCGAGCGCAGGGGGCAGAGGGGGGGGGAGACACCGGCTGAACAGAGAAGGAGAACCCAGGACCCTCCGGCAGAGAGACTGGGGGGAGGTAGATCTCGGAGCACAGTACCTGTGGTGTTGAACAGCGAGTACGGGCTCATTCCTCTCTCAAGCTGTGTGGAAACAATGGTGGTTTCATTCTAACACAACAATATTTAGGTTCTCCGTTTATCTCCTAAGTTCCTAATCTGTACAGAAGGATTATAAAGGGCCTTCCCCCTTTCGTAAGGCATGAGAGAATAACAACACCTATTCTCATTATAATTGATAAAGCAAAGGAACGGGTAAAGGTTTATTCCATGCTGAAAAGAGAGACACAGTGTTTCTGCTGTGGAGCTTCTTCAGGTGTGTGACATCACACACCCTTACGTGTTCCTTCGCAGCCCACGCATGCTGACGCAGCTCCCTTCCCTGCTTCATCTTATCGTTACTGGGCCCAGCAAAATGTCTCCAGCCCAGAGAGGGATGAGTACGCAGGCACGAGCCCGCGGTGCCCCAGTGCAGCTCGTGAAGCCGCGTCTGATGTTGCCTTCCTCCACGCAGGCTGTTCCTGCAGAACTTCAAGGCCGACGCCAGAGTCCTGACGGACGCCGAGACCAAGGCCTTCCTGGCCGCCGCCGACCTGGACAGCGATGGCAAGATCGGCGCTCAAGGTCTGAAGTTCCCCAGGGCTCCGCGGGCTCCCATGGGCCCCCGCCATCACCGATTCCCCGTCTCCCTGCGCCCCCGTAGAACCACAGGTGGAAGAGAAAGCAGCGACAGTGTGGAAGGAGACACACGAGATGACCTCCCTCTCACTTTCCTTCTTTTCCAGAGTTCCGCTCCCTGATGAAATGAGCCCAGTCCAGCGCCGAGGTCCTGTCCACGCTTCGTGTCTCCAACAGGCTGCGGTCGGAAGGCAGTGGGTGCCACTGTACCCTTGCAATGAGCTTGACTGCAAAACAAGAACCAGGCGACGTGTGCGACGTTTATCCCTCTAACCTTACCAAACGCTAGTAAGATGTCACAGAGATCAGGACTTAGGAAATAGGAAGCTGTCTTTTGTAATATCCAGATATGTTTTTCTCTTTTCGCAGAATGGATATGTATAATCTTATACATCTTAATAAATTTGGAATCAAGGCTTCAACGGCTCTTTTCTTTTCCTATTTTCTGCATTTGACTGTAATTATAGATCTGTTTCAGAATTAGAAGCTGCCCAAAGCCTGGAGATATTATCTTTTCTTAGAGAAAAAAAAATCCCAATAATTAACATTGTTTTAAGGATGTATTTCCTGGTCTGGGTGATAAAAAAAAAAACATGCAGCTCAGAGACAGGCTCCATTCCTTGTTCTGTACACAAAAGCGAGCCAGTGATCAAGACACATTTATTAACTTTATGACCACGCGATTACCACCCTCATTAAGACAGACAGACCTATCGTTTCCAAAAACTAAATCATTACTTGTCCTTAAGCGGCGTCCGTTGTTAGTAGGAGAAATACTGTTTAAACCTGCAATACACACTGACGACGCGTTACAACTTCGCCACCTGGCGGTACAACCACATGCCTCGAGTGCCGTTAACCTGCAGGTCACCCATTTCCCTATCAAGCGCTGCACGTCGGCAGTTAGACTCGAGTCCTAGTATGTGCACGATAGAGAACGGTTTTCATCAATTAAAATTCGAAGTCTTCGCCTTGGTAAAGTTATAAGTGGGGTCTGCTTCGTGACTTCTAGAACCTGTGAGGCGATGCCGAAAAGGCGCAAGAACGGATATAATAAATGATAATCCTTCCGGTCATGCTAACGCGAATACGAGCCAAGTCAAGAACTGATCTCAGTTCGACATCATTTGTTGAAAGGAAACACACTGAATTCATAACATGAACGTGGTTACAGTGACGATGCGGCCGGCCATCACAGTACGCGAGAGGGCCTCTGGGGTACACTCACCGAGTCGCCATGATTTCAGTTCTTGCCTGATCAGCGTTCAGCACCTCCTCCCTCTGGACAGCTCCTCTGGAACAGGACGCTCGCCGGCGTCTCCTATTGGTAGTTAAGAGAAGATCACTTTATTGGCCGTATACATCTCCTTTATTAGGAGCTTGTCTATGAGAAATGTGTCCATGAGACAGACAGACAAACAGACAGACAGAGAAGCTGGGGGTCAGAGCGCAGGGTCAGCCATTTATACAGCACCCCTGGAGCAGCTGGGGTGAAGGGCCTTGCTCAGGGGCCCAGCAGAGTAGGATTCCTCTGCCGGCCGCGGGATACGAACCGGGAACCCTCCAGCCCCAGGCGTACACCCTGAGCCACGTGTCACGTATAGTACGTGTTGCGATCTATGAAGATTAATTTAAAACATCCTCACCCGACCTGCAGTTCTCGACCCCGGTTCTGCTGGTGCCGATTTTCATACCAGCTGGCTCCTTGAATCATTGGTGCCTGAAATCAGTCCGCTTACCTGCCCCTGCGTGTATCTCCAGTCACGCCCCGCCTCCGTTATTTCTGACTACAAAGCTCTCAGAAAGGCGGCCAGAAACAGACACGAGTGGGAAATAGTCTTTCTTCCGTGCGTCCCGCGGGTGTAAAGAGTATTTCTCTTCCACCGCTCTCAATGCAGGTCTCACACCTGAGCGAAGGCACTCCTGAAGCCCACTAATTGGTACAGGCTTGGCAACAATTACGGCTTTTTAAGATCTGAAAGCAGATTTAAGGCGGGCCTCCAGCAGGTAATGGACATTAATTTGCCCGCGATTAAGATTTCGCCTGGAACAAGGGTCAGTTATTTAGATCTGTGGCTGTGTGTTGTTACAGACAAGGGACGGGGCTCCTGTTCTATATAATCTTTTCACTCCTTGACAGCCGTCAGGACTGGTATTCCGGATTTTTTATCATTGATTTTATCTCGATCATCAGCTTCTCCAAACTGAACGACCAGTACTTACGAACACGAATAATGCGAAAGGCAAAACAAAGGACAAAGCTCTTTGCGGAAGTCGTACAAGACTGATTGTAGAAAAGCTTAAAATGGCAGCAGGTCTCCCCCTCACAGTTTGTTTCCTGTAATGTGCAACTGTTTTATGTGCAAAGTATCTAACGCCAATTAAGCATTCGGAAAATGTAATTTGTAATCGTACTGTAATACTAATTTTCCCTTTTCAGTTCACTTCCATTTTCTGTTTCCGAATGAAGCACATATTTCTGGACGTTATTGTATCTACTAAATACGCAGTCCAAAAACCTCGATTAAAAAATTCATTTTTTTCCTATCTACCTCACGAAAATAACAAAATCGCCAAACCAGAATGTGACGTTAACTGCGTAAAAAAGTTTGAAGAAGGTTGTTTTTCAGTAAACGTATTTTTATAGGACGATACAAAATGGTTTAACTCATCATATTCTCAACAAATCATGAATCTTGAATCTAAAGACCGTCCATATCTACAATACTGCATAACGTGTATCAGTGGCAACACCGCCATCTAGTGGCTGGACTCCTGTAAATAAGAAGAGCTGCCTAATGCGGATTTTTGCATCTAAAACACTGGAAAGTCTTAGGGAGAGTCTGAGGATAACCCCGATTTTCCTAATCCAACCGATTCTAGAGCTCATTTCCTCTAGAAATGAGGAATAGAAATAAGTGGTTTATGTATGAGTATAATATTCGCTACAGTATTATTTATTTTACAAGCAACACTTGTGTCCGTCTGATATGAAAGATGTGTTGGTAACGATACAGCTTTAGAGATCTCGTCGTGGACTATTAAAAGACGATAGCATCAGATTGCAGCAGTATATTACAATATACCTCTGTGAAAACCTTCCTGCACCGAGCTTTCCCTTAGAGTGCAAAACAGCTTCTTAACAGGGCAGGGGCTACAATAGACATGCAGTGTAGATGCGACCTGTTGCCTTAGGAGAAATGTTATTATTACACACAGAGTGGCTTGACTTGCTTCTAAATCAGAACACACTGCAGATAATAAATCAGAAGACATATCTGACTCAAAGAGCAATAGCACCCAAGCACTCCCCTGTTTGTTTCCACACTTCATGGCCAAGCTGGAGAAACTCTCTGGATTCAGTCAGGCCTCACCACACACCTGCTCTACTCGGTGTCTTGGCTGCAGCCCTCTGGAAATACAGGTGCATGACTGAGCTCGTAGCTATCTCACTGATCCCAGCTCCACTTGAGTCGCATGGCGAACACATCACAGGGACAAGATACAGGAGCAGATGTGTGATTGTGACCCTCATGACACTTAACAACCTCAACATACTGAACATGCCTGTAGCCTCTTGAGTGTGCCTCAGTTCTAAACAAGCTGCAAAGCAAGCTGGTTTTCATGTCTCAAACACGCGTGTTTGTCATGTGTTCATTAAGGTCTTAAAGAAGTATCTAAGAGTTGGGATTTGGACATGCTTAGATGCAATCAGAACCTTTATGTTTATCCTGGGAAGAGTGACTACGTTTCAGGAGCTGGTTTTGAATGTCTCCATGGAAAGGACACTTAAAAAGTTTTGAGATGAATTTCTGTTGTTTTCTTTGAACAAGTAGCTTCCACTTTAACAGCAAACTTAAGGAAGAGCAAAAGCATTCCTGTTGAAGAGAGGAGTAAAGTAATAAAGTCACGAGCTACCCAGGTAGTTTCACAGGTCTGTTCCCAGCATTCCTGGGCAGTTTAAACAACATCAGCTCCCTGCACAGAACTACCTTCTATACAGGCGCATAGTAATGAATAAATATGCCAAGCATTTAAAAATGTATCGGCAATGTTATACAAACTATGATGAGAAATCTGGGATTCTGGACTCTTTAAAGAAAAAGTTCTTAAAAAAGAAGATTCACATTCAGTACAGCATAGGAAGAGAGCTCAATGTATATGCACTAAAAATAAAGCCATTGATGGAAATATAAGATTTCACAGTGCAGTCACTGTATAGGGGTCAGACAGTTGCTTCTTTTTATGGAATGGGCGAGATACATTTTTTTGACTGTTCATCAGAATCTGAGACAAATATTAATAATTGTGAATTGGATCCATCCCCCACAATATAATGTTACTTCATTAGGGCGTGAGGATTACCATGAGCTGTACAGACCCTACACATTCCTGGTGGAGGTATCCATTGAGCTGGCACATTTTGAAACCATACCCATCTATCCACACTGTTTAACTAATGAATAGGGAGGTGTTTGTAGCCTTTATAAAAGAGGAGCTCTGCCAAGGGCAGACAGTGTCGATTCCATACTCGTTTCCCCTTGAGGCTCGCAGACCAGGAGGTGAGTTGCTCTGGGTAACACTGGTTTCAGTACGGGAGCTCCGAGGACGGCCACAGGCTGGATTGGCCGGGGGAAACTGTCCCATTCTGCACAGAACAGACACTGCTGCGACAGACAAGGCCAGCGGCTCATACCCTCAACGCCTCTCTGCTCCTGGATACTCCATGAAGGACCTGGGTGCATTTGCTGGGAAATTATACCAAACGATTGCTTGCTTTTTTGTTGGTTCTCTGTTCCAATCTGCTGGTTTTAGAAGAGAACATTGTGCATCCGGGCAATACAATTTGCAATCCCCTTGTTCCCAGAGGAGCTGGTGGCGGAGCTGACAACATGCAAAAATAACAGAGGAGGAGGAATGGCAGCAGGGTTTTTTTCTTCTCTACATCATTGGGTTTCCTTACCCAAGATGGTTACTTTCTGTTTCTGGAAAACAGAGTCAAAAAGTCTTGTTCTAGATAAAGAAATGAGAAGCTGTGGAAACTGCACTGATGATGATGCATGTCTGATGTGATGCATTGATTTTTAATGATCTGAAATACAGCATGCACCATAGAACCACACTGACAAAACAGCACGGCAGAGACTAACTAGTGAAGAACAAATTTTATAAGTTAAAATGAGTACGATATCTGTAAAAGAATGAATAGCATAGCTGACAATTATGAAGCAGTATAAATCTTCACACACACACTCTTTGATATCTCTTATCTTAGAAAGTAGTTACAGACCCATTGAACTTAATATTTTCTGTAATTACAATGTTTCTCCTTTTAACAAAGTTCTGTGAGCGTCTCCGGGGTGTTGCTACAAGACAATCAGTTGTGTGTTTTTGCTTGTTTGTTAAACTCTTCATTCACTCTCCCTTCCCCCCAGACTGATCATGGCTTTCGCTGGAATCCTTAAAGACGCAGACATTGCAGCTGCCCTCAAGACCTGTGAAGGTAAACCAGCCTCCCTACACATTCAGACACGTGTAGGAGAGTTCAAAAGAGGGTATTTTCCCTCAAGAGGAATACGCTTGTCTAGAGCAGATCTCTCCACCCGCCTGAGCTTCCTCGACACTTTAATACACATCTTTATGACAACCAAGTTTCTCCCCTGTCAAACTAAATGCCGCCATTGTCAGGGGTAGAATAGGAGCTGTAGGTAAACCACCGTGTTTAACACCAGAGCTTGCTGTAAGCCTGCAGAAAGGCAAAGCTTTCGTTCTTGAGGGTCTCCTCACACTAGCTATACAAAGAATACACTGTCTCCTTACTGAGGAGGATCTACTCAGGTGGCTAGATGGTGCAAGTCAAAGGCTAAATAAATAAGGTGTTCTCCGAGAACTTCGGCACGCAGATGCTGTTCACGAGAGGATCTCAGGACAAAGATACAGTCGGGGCCTCAGTGGGGAAGTAGGTAGCTCTGGATGACATGAATGTTAAAGTTTTAGCATTTGGTTTGCTTGGAACCCTCAGTAAAAAAACATTCAACATTAATTTCCAGGACAAGTAATCTTGTCTAGAAATAATATACCTACTTAATTTTATTGCCAAGTGAGTAGAGAGCAGGCGGAAGGTGTAATAAAGTCAAAGAGTTTGTCCTTTGAGCACTAATCCTGTGGGCTCTTGAAGGTTAACAGCAAAAGAACAATCTGCTTCCGATAGGCAGGTACTGTGCACAGATGTGCCACATTTCACAGTGCTGAAGGCATCTGCCTCTAGTGAGTTGGGCCCCCCCGTGCACAAGACAAGAGGAAACGCTCAAGGACATTCCAGCTGATCGGCTGCACCTACTGTAGCTGAGCAGACGTTGGTGGGGAGAGAAGACAGTCGTCCAGCACTTCCACACTTTCGCTAAAACTGTGCTTGTCTCCCACAGCGGCGGGCTCTTTCAATCACAAGACCTTCTTCGCCGAAGTGGGGCTGGCCAGCAAGCCCGACTCCGAGGCAGAGAAAGTGTTCAAAATCCTGGACCAGGACCAGAGCGGATTCATTGAGGAGGATGAGCTGAAGTAAGGGAGCTGGGAAGAGACGTTTCGATGATTTTCGTTGTGCTTTTAAACTGAACAAAACTGGACTGAACATACAGAAATCATTAGTCTCTTAACTATCAGGTATTTCAGGGCTATAAAACAAAGCATGCAGAGAAATACACCATTACCATCCATTACCTCAAAGCCAGCTGTCCTACAGCCAGTCTGTCTTTGAGTGGTGAGAGGACATCAGGGCACCCAAAGGAAACCCGCCTGTGCATGTGAGCAACAAGATGCTCTGGTCCAGACCTGCACCGCAGAGCAATCACTGACTGTCATGCCATTAAATCCCATTCAGTAAGACAGAGAAATGTAGTGGCAGCCTCAGCCAAAATGAACAAATAACGTGTATAGAACAGAGTACAGGCCAGCAGAATCAAAAACAATGAGCACTGAAATGTTTGATGAGGTTTGGTTTTCTTCCAATTCTGGTGGTGGAGGGCCGGTGTGTCTACAGCTTTTCTTAAGTGATTAAATTGGTCCAGTTAGACCAGTAAGAAGCTGATTCAGGACGTTAACAGCTGAGTTGGGATGAAAACCCTTCCTGGACGAAGACAGAGCAGCTCTGGTCTGGAGAGCTGCCTGTCTGCAGTTTCTTCAGAGCAGCTGGGCATGAGAGCAGGGAGAGGCCGGCTAGAGAGCAGTCTTCGCTTATTCACACACATCAGAACTGTCTCACTCGGCCAGCTGTGCAACTTTCCTTATCTTTTTCTCTGTCCTTTGCTTCTCCACCAGGCTGTTCCTGCAGAACTTCTCCGCCAGCGCCAGAGTCCTGACCGACGCCGAGACCAAGACCTTCCTGGCCGCCGGAGACTCCGACGGTGACGGCAAGATCGGAGTGGATGGTACGGAAAAGTGGGAAGAGGGGGAAGAGGGGGAAGAGCTCGGAGGTGCAGGGAGACGTTGTACTCCAGGGTGCAGGGGATGATGGGAAGGATCGGGAGCAGGGAAACAACAAAAACAAGAGTTTCAAAAAACTCTTGGACAGATGGGCCCCTCAGACAGAGACATGGACATAAACAAAAAGGCAGGAGTTCCTGAGAGGCTGTCTGTCGATGAAACCAGGCAGAAGCCGAGAACAGAACCCTTCAAACTAAGACAATCAAGCACCAACTGGAAACTCAGCCATGTTGGGAACCTATTAATTATGGAGCACTAATTGCATGTTTTTTCTTTCTTTTTCAGAGTTCCGGGCTCTGACAAAATGAACAAGCCCACGCCCAAATTAACAGAAGCTGTGATGAAGGAGTCTTATTTATTTATTGTTTTATACAGTTCATGGCATTTGCAAATTGTGCTGTCTTGTGGTTTTTTTTTTCTTATGGCAATGATTAAAACAAACTCATAAGGAAAAAATAAATGCTACTTAAAGAAAGAGCTCTTGTGTGATATTATTGCTTTATCCAAGCCTGAACTTAGAGGTGTTTACAGAAATCACTGAGGCCACTTATAAGATCGGTATGTAGCATTCGCTTTCTTTAACACCAGTCACGTCTAAAATTACACCCAACTGCAGCAGCTCACAGTATAGGATACCAAGGCTCTGACAGGGCAGAACGACATGTGATACGGACAGGAGAATCAACACACAAATTCAGAAACACAGCATCCACTGAGTGTACAGATATAGCTGCGGAAGAGCTGGGTTTTTCAGCAGATATGTTCTGATATGGATATTCGCAAGCCTCAGACTTTTACCACAGCAACAACACTATTACAAACGCAGGTTAAACTTTTATTACTTAGTAGCTCCGTGGTTATTACACATTTCCCTACAAAGGCATTTACACCATTCAGCACAACAGAACTGCATATACTGACTGTACTGTGCCACCTACGTCTTGTCTGACCTGCAGTTGTCCTAACTGTGATTACTGTGCTTCTGTTTTACACAACAGATACTGCTACATATACTGTAGGTTTCGCGTTAAAGAAATAATAATTTGTGAACGACCAACTCGAAGCAACTAAAGTTGGAAAAAACAAAAACGGGGACCCGGTACTAGGCGCTCTGCTGTGGGCAGTGCTGGGGACACGCCGGGCAGTGTTGCCCACGGCAGAGGGCAGCGGACGTCACCGTGCGTCTTCCCGACTCATTTTTTTTTTTAATGAGTCTCGTAAAGCAATAATAAAACCACCCGCCTACCCAATTAAATCGAATTTAAGGCCGTTATCTTTTTTCTTAACCACCTTTTTTCCCCAGCTGAAATGTTTGGGACCGAGGCCCGGAGCGCTGGGGCTTAGCGCTCCTCGCTGTTCTGTATGATGGTGGAGAAACAATGTCGGGTTTGTTTTTCTGTTTTGTTTCCCGGCCAGCAGAAGGTGCACACGACGTTCACTTCAGCAGTTGCTCTGCCCAGACAAACCACTAAGGTGTCTGGAAAACGTCTAACTAGAAGGCTATCCAACACTTTGCACTGCTAGGCACGAACGCCTTGTGTTTTTGACGCTGGTGGCCCAGCGAGTTAACTGTTTCATTACCAAGTCCATTAACTGCGATCTGCCTAATGTGAAGCGATTTATCAGGTCATCGCCACCATGGCGTTGGCGACAAAGGTCTGAAGGCGAGCCCATCGGAATGCGTTGCCGCTGTAAACTTAACTGCAGGACCACCCCACCCGCGCCCTCCTCCCTTTTTGGGCTGTCACTTGAGGTGCCTCGCTGCCTTTTTTGAAATGCTCCCAGCCCGACTGGTAGAGACTCTGCCCACAGCTCTTTCGTGGCAAAGCGCGGATTTACGCAGATGAACGCCGCCACAATGCGTTAAATTGCAAACGCCGTTGTGTTCGTATGGCGCTTGTATTCATTTCCAAGTCTCGTGATTCTCGTGAAGAAGTGAATATGTACAGTATGTCAAATTCCACGGCGCTTACGTTTCCTGAAGCACGTCGTTCTCAAGCGTACGCCTGCCTACGTCAATGAAATGAGCAAACTGCTATGCGTTTTAGAAACGCTGTCCAGCTCCCTTCCTATAGAACACGCGATTGCAAAGATTTATGCCTGAAAAGTCAGTTTGCAGGACCACACTGCGTGTGTTTCCTGACTGCAGTGACCGTTAATTACACCCTTCGGTCAAAAAGAGCGTCTTTCTCTGAAGACGCCGAGCGGCCCAAGTCGTTTAACCCCAATCTGATGAACAATAAAGACGCAAACGCAAGAGCAGGCAACGCGAAGACGGGTCTCTCATCCCCGCCCGCCGATATGCTGACTTTTTAAACCTGCTCTAGCGAAGCCTCGCATTCTGCTTCGGAGACAGTAATTTAATCTTATTGAGACTGCACACAGGCCGGCGGCCATAAATATCCTTCTGGAGTTTTAGATTAATCAATTTCGTATCCTAATGGTCTGGTCTGGGGGGGGAATTAATTAAATATAAGAGTCTAAAGTCCCACCGTGCATACTGCACACTCCATGCTGTTTGTTAAAGCCCGATCCCGCCAGTGTCTCATCTGTGCGACAAAGCCAAAACATTAATTCCACTTTGATTCCGTTTTCAAATCGCCTTGCAAATAAACTAGGACCCTGTCAGCACACCATCGATATCTGCCGGATCTGCCCGGCGCCTTTACGGTTTCCAATGGGTTTTTGAGGATCTTCATTTATAAAGATAAAAATAGAACTATATGACTACTGGACACATTTTTTAGAAACTAATACTATCCGATGCTTATGGTATCCGTTACAGTGAGCCTCGAATTCCTGTAAAAGGTTCGATGGGCTCCTATATAAGAAGGCGGGACGGACAGGCGTGTTCTCACTGCAGCGACTCGATTCATCGCTCCGGGTGGTTCTTTCAGGAGAGCTCAGGTGAGGGGGGCTCGGAGCGGCCCCAGCCGCCGCAGGGCTCCCGGGAGACGGATCTCGCCTGCCCGGCCGCAGTGCAACTGCCTTTTCAAGAGCTCACTCAATGGTCACTCCAGCTCAGAAAAAGACCGTTTTGGAGGAGTGTTTCTTGCTCGGGGACAGGAGGATGAGAAACGGAGACCCCGCATCCCCGCCTTGCTCGATAATTGGACTTAACTATGGGAATGGAACTGCAAACACACGAATAGAAAAACAAATAACTACATACATTCGAAAAAAGCTGAGGGACTGCCTACTGTTTAAAAGACGCCCGGAGATGTGGCGATGTGGAGATGATTGGGACTCTTCTACGTGAAATTGTCTTTTACTGTTGCTGGCGGGGAGTTGGGGTGTCTAGATGATTTGGGATTTAGGAAATGTATTTCCTCTTCGGTGTCTCATAATGTTTGGGCTTTCATTCGTTCAGTTTTCAAGCTCGGCTCGAAGCGTAAAGCGCACATTTCTACAGAAATGTACAGAAAACCGAACCTTGCCCCCAAACCAAACTCACTCAAACCTTTTTGACACTGAAAGAAGAAAAAAGTTTGGGTTTTTTTTTATATAAAACAAAAGCGTCTGCCATCAGACCGATGTCGGTCCAGTTATTCTCGGCTGAAGCGCGGTTCAGACATTGAAGACAGACCCTCGGAGGCGAGCGGTAAAACTGCGGTCGTGCGTTGCTTTGCTAACACGCGTGTGTCTCTTTCTCACCCAGCTAAAACAAGCAGACATGGCCTTCGCTGGCATTCTCAAGGACGAAGACGTCGCTGCAGCCCTGCAGGCTTGCCAAGGTAACCGGCTGCGGCCAGCTGTGCCGGAGCTCCTGGGCTCCAGTCCGGCGGCACCGATGCCCACTGCTGCTCATGACGTTGGTCTCTCGGCTGGGGGGGGGGCGCTTCATTTCCAAGCCCCAGTCTTGTCGAGTTTGTCTGGGGCAAGGGTCCCTGGCTTGAGGCTTGAGGGCGAAGGCTTGCTAATGCACGGATTTGGTTGTAAGCAGGTTTTGCGCTGAAGGCAGAGAAAAAACATTCCAGCCATTGAACCCCTCCAAGATTAAACGTGAACATGGCATCTCTCGCACGGACGTATTTAATTCCGGCGGCGGCGTATTTGTTATCGAGGTCGCTCACAGAGCTGCGTCCGTTTCGGCTCCTCCATTCCACGTTTTTGCTTTCAGCAACCGATTTAATTAAGCAATTAAGACGCAATTAAGACATCTGTTTGGAACGAACGTTCTATGTCCTCTAGTGGCAATGAATTGAAATGCCAAGATACACCACCTCTGAGGTAGTGGTTTCTTAAAAACAAAAGGTTAGTCTATCGGGTGAGTGTTTATCTTTTGAGTGAGCCTTTTTGGAACCTCAGCCCTCACACAGTTTGTGCTGTTCTTGTGCTAAACTGGAGCTCAGTGCTTACTCTATGAAAAACCAGTAATGCAGTAAGACATCTCTTCTTTCCCCACAGCCGCTGACTCTTTCAACTACAAGACCTTCTTCGCCAAGGTCGGCCTGGCTGGCAGGTCCGCCGAAGACGTCAAGAAGGCCTTCGCTGTCCTGGACCAGGACAAGAGCGGCTTCATTGAGGAGGACGAGCTGAAGTAAGGGAGCCGCGGTGCAGGGTCCTGCCCCAGACCAGGGCCAGCCCTGCTGTTCGAGCCATTGCAGCAGCCACTTGTTTCAGTCACTTCACCCCTCATAGACACGTCCCTGGCTCTCACAGTCAGCAGCTTGTGCACTGCACCTCGACCCACACTGGAAGTGCAGACAGACCGATGACACGCATCTCCGCTGAAAATGAGTCCACAGCCTTGCCAAGCCTGGATTATTAAAGCACAGCCATCTCACAGCCCCAGCTGTTAGACATCTGCCCTGCCGAGCTGGTCCCGGGCAGGGTTTTAGGGGCTGTGCTAGGCGTCACAAGCGATTCGATGACAAGGGGTTGGCGTCCCTGCAATAGCTGTCTCTTTCCTGCCTCTCCACCAGGCTGTTCCTGCAGAACTTCAAGGCCGACGCCAGAGTCCTGACCGACGCCGAGACCAAGGCCTTCCTGGCCGCCGGGGACTCCG